AAAAAACTCGAAATATTCCGTATTCTATGTTTATTTTTTAATTTTTCTTAACAAAAGGTCGAATTGGCAACTATGGCGAGGCAGAATTTGTTGGATTTTGAAAGAAACGCTGATGATGAGTATTCCATTAAGCATGACAAAGTCTCTTGAATTTGATTTTGAAATCAGATTATTATTTTTGGAAGTATCCTAATTTTAAAATTATTTTATGTATAAATGTTGAAGGAAAAAAAAAATAGGCAACAGTGTAATTTTTTATACCAATTGTCATCTAGTTCTAACTAGAGTCCTAACATTTTGCTTTAAAATATCGAGACATGTTTGATCAAAGTTTTTTTTTAATAAAAAAACAATAGAAAAGACATGTTCAGAGGTATAAGATGTAAAATTTGCAACGCTGTGTTACTTGAAATTATTGTAGCCTTACATCAATGCACTATGCATCCACGAATACCACTAGGGGTTAATTTCGTGCCACAAAATACAATTGGACATTCACTAAAATTGGTTTTTAAATAAGAAACTCAAAAATTTGAGTATTTTTAAAGCTCAGAAAGGTAAACTTTGCAACGTTGCACTACGTAAACAGGGGTCATACATAAGCTGAAACTTTTACTGGAGACTTGCTTTATCATTATGCTTCATTTACGCTATGTGTTTCAGTATTGTAAAGTTCACTCTCATGTTAGTTTTAGGAAGATAATATTTCAAAATATGAAGATTTTTAAAGCTTAAATATGCAAACTTTGCAACGTTGTATCTCCGAAACCAGACGTATACTCAAGCTAAAATTTTTACTGGAGTCTTGGGTCATCATAAGGTTTCGTTTAGGCCACATTTGAATGAGCCAAAAAACCTTATGGCCAAAAAACCCCAAAAATCGTTGAAAATGTCCAGAAAGACCCACTTAAAGTGAGTTTAGACAATTTTCGCCTGTTCTATTGAAAAGTACGCAAAAAATTACGTAAATGGAACCCCCGTATTCATGAAACAAAGCTTTTTTAGGCTCGTCATAAAATTAAAACCATTTTTCAGCCGAAAAATTGAGTCGGCTGTTGTGGCAGGAAAACGATGCACAATCGCAAAAACATTTTGCGCCAGAATGCACCTATCCTAGGGTACTTAAAATATGGGTTCAGATGATTTTTTGAAGTGGGGCCAAAATCGGCCCTTATCGATACCCCTCCTTTATAATGTTGTCTCTTCTGAGAACCTTTTTTGCACTTTTTAAATATGGAAAAATGTGGCAACCATGGAAAAAAGTGTGCACCCGCCGAAGCGCATTAACTCAATTTAACAATATTATAACTATTCACTCGGAAGAATTTATTTACTGTACGATATCTTAGGTCGTTAATGTGAAATATGAATTTAATCTTTTTTTTGATGAGTCGACTTTAATTTAAAAAAAAATTTAAAAAATGGGTTTCCCGCAGTTTTTTACAGCAAATCTGTGGTGCAAATGATTGTTGAGGGTTTGAAGAAAAAGTGTCTGGCCTCAAAACTCTATAGAAACCTAATTAAAAAACTGCAGAAAGCTTTTTTGATGGAATTTTTAAGATATATTAGGCACGTTTGCTAACAAGATTTTTGGACCGTGGAAAGTGCGCAATGGAAAAAGTGTATACATCAAATGAAAGCTCTTTTTTAGGAGAAGAAGTCCTAGTGAACAAATTTTCATCCTGTGCAACCGCTGAGCCGTGATAAAGCCTTACACAGTTGCAGTTCAGAACACACTTCTATATATTATCGGTGCAGTATGAGAGGTACCCATGTTCCCCCTCCAAAACATCGCTGTTAAGCCATTATTGGATGAAATGATGATAAATCCTTATCCCTTAGAGAGGCATTTTAACGAATTCCTTATCATCAATACAAAACTGAACACTCTTAAAAACGGTATTTTTCGTGTGAAACAGGCCTCTGTGCCCCACAGTGCGGTGACCCGGCCGCTGGGGTTCCGCCGATCGATATTCGGGGGCTTGGGACATGGGTGCCCGAGAATCTTAAGGTCACGGCGGACCACCAATAATTTTGTTACGTAGTCTGTTTAGTTCAATTTTATGTCCGAAGTCCTCCAATAAGATGCGTGTGATTCTTGTTTTTGCATTCAGTTGTGAAGCGTTATCATGTGTAAATCATGATAAGCTGCCTTGTCTCACACTGTTGGCAGTGTTGGCCCATCATTTAGACAATGATATTATGCCACGGAGTGGATGTGCTGAAGGCTCTAGGGTTATGTGGCTCTGGGCATAATTTTGCTTTGATATCGCAGGGTCCACAAAAGAAATTAGATCAAAACGATGTATAGGTATTTTATTGCATTTCTAAAAGCTAGAGAGTGCTCATAGTTCACAGGAATTTTCCCTGAATTTTTTGAACGGTATTAACCCACGAAAAACGAGTTTGAAGTTGCACATTCTAAGCCCAGGTTTAAATCCTGTTTTGCCCATTTATTTCGCTGGGTCATGTAAGATGGCGGCCGCGCAGATTGATTCAACTTTAGCCATACTTTTGACTCTGCATTCTCTCCGGCGCGATCCATCGTCCTTGCGCATGCATTAGAACGAAAAGAGTAACTATAAACACAACGGAATCTTCCTATTTTCATACATCGTTACTACGTACTTCAGCAACGTCAAAAAGTGTTCTGACATTGCACGATATTCATGAAATTTGAAAGATTCCGATTTGTTTCTGTTTACTTCTTCATACTTTATTTTTTAAATGAATAAGCACTCAACATCATTTCTTGAAAATCTGCTCCCTGATTTTTGTTCTTACTGTTTGAAGAATAAGATTATTCTTCAAACAGTAAGAACAAACAAGCAAAAAATGTGCAGTGTACATTTCAAGCAATATCATTTTTTTTCCTTTAATAAAATAAAATGAGAGCAGAGATTTGAAACACCATGAGCAAGGTATGCATTCTATCAGTTTCGCTCTCACATTGTGACTTTTCCTCACTCTTCCAGTTTTTTCCATCATTCTGTCTCCAAAAGCACCATAAAATATCTGTGGATTTATTTATTTTTTATTGAAGTCATTTCATCTGTTCTTTTCCAGGGATGGAGATACATATGCTGCTCTGAGAGATTGTTATATGACTCTGAAATTAGATCCAAATCATGTTAAAGCCTTCTTCAGGTATCTTAAATTATAGAGTCTAACTTTTTATTTTTAACTTTGATCAATTAGGCCACCAAAAAAGTTTACCTTTTTTAAATCAACACCCAAGAAGTCAACTTCTTGGGTGTTGATTTGAAAAGTCTACACATGAATATCCTTTCATTTGCAAAAAATAGGAGTAATGATACTTTGAATTACACATTTAAGGATATAAATTAATTTTTATTTCAAAGATTTTCTCGCAAGATGTCCAACATTTAAGAAAAGCCAGGTGGTCTTCAGATGAATAACCATGAGCAAGAGCTTAATAATGAGCTCTGTGAAGTGGCTTTCGAGTTAATATTTGCATAATCAAAAATCAAATCTCACTATGAGCAAATGTCATATACCATTGATTGTATTTCGCTCTCTTTCACTTTTTTGTTAAAGATTCTGTTATTTAAAGCCAGGATTTACTCAAAATAATTTAATCTCCAGTCACCCAGCAACAGAGATATCCGAATGAGACTTGTTGTCAGTGTTCCAGAAGTGTAAAATTTTTTTGCATTTCCAACTGTAGCAGAAAAGTGATGAAGCTCTGCATGCTCGACAATGTATTAAAATCGTTCACTTATGGATAATTAAAATTACCCATTGTGTGTAGCTTACCATCTTTATTCAAGCATCTTACGCTCTTTTTTTTAAGATTTCATCTCTCAAAACTTTGGGCAGGTGTTTTTTTTCTTGAAATTTTCAATTTTTTTTAGACTCTTTTACAATCTTTAGAGTTGACGTGTGGGGAGATAAGAAACCGTGTCCAAGGAAAATAATTACGAAAATGTTTATGTTTTTGGTGCTCCAACGACTTGAGTGATACAAGTTGAAATTCAAGGTTTTAAGCAAATTAAACAATGTAATCCAATGGGAAACGCCGAGTTCTCGGCATTTTTTAGCTCACAAATTTTCGGCCCTGCGGATCGACGTATCAGCTTTATTATAGGTATAAAGATAGAGATGGCCATAGCTGTGCCGTTCTTCTATTTGTTCATCAGTCTTAGGCTTTTTGTAAAGCTCAGAACAATGTTAAAAAATCCGATGTAATGAACTTTGCATTTTTTAGAGAGATATGAATGATTCTCAATGGAAAAAGTGAAATTCTTGGCAGAAATATCCATTCAAAATTGTTCAGAACTCATTTCAGAAGTTGGAGACTAAAAAATTCTTATTAAACAGCTCTTGATCAATTCAAAGGCTCTGGATCTGACAGCATATTCCTCTTTTTCCTTTGTTTTTAAGCAAGTCTTCTTGATGTTAAACAGTGTCAATTGTAAACCTTTTTGTCAACAGATTGGCCAGATGTCTTTATCGATTGAATTGGTTGAAAGAAGCAAAACGATGTCTCGAAGAATTCAAGGCTAAATTTCCATCTCATGGTTCAACTCATGCCACCCAAGCTTTAGAAAAAGATATCAAAGATGCTCTCAAAGAGCCCAAAGGAGAAAAAGATTCTGGTATTTAATCTACATTTTAGTCTTTGAATTCACTATTTAGTAAAAATGAGAATCTCCAATCTTCAGCTCCACTGTCCAAAAAAAATGTCACATTGAGTGTCCAGAATTTGATCCAACAGTCTCCCACCACCCTTGTAAATTTTTTGATAAATATACTATTGAGTTGAAAGTTTAGTAATGTTCCGAAGTCAAAGTTAATTCCTTTTTGTCCCCCCCCCCTTCCTAAATTTTTTCACAAGGCAACCCCTATCCTATATATTAAAATGCAAAGTTCCGAATCTTTGGGCGTTAACTTTGAGAGAACCACCGGACCGATTTGCCTTATCTTTTTTTTAAATAAAAGCCCCTGAGCTGTAGATTTGCAGGCTGTAATTTGTTTTTCGATTTTTTCAGATTGTCTCCTATAATTTTCTCAAATTTTCTCCAATGTATTAAAACAGAGGTCCGAATCTTTGGACATTAACTTTGAGAGAACCACCGGACCGATTTGCATGATTTTTGTTTTAAATGAAAGCCTCTGATCTGTAGATTTGCAGGCTGTGGTCGTTTTTTCGATTTTCTCAAATTTTCTTACTGTTATCGACGAGTGAAGATTAGCTGGGCTTGAATTTTCTCCCATTAATTCAGACTAAAGACCGAATTTTGGGACATTAACTTTGAGAGAACTACCGGACCTATTTGCATGGGTTTTTTCTTAAATGGAAGCTTCTGATCTGTAGATTTGCAGGCTGTAATTATTTTTTCGATTTTCTCAAATTTTCTTACTTTTATCGACGAGTAAAGTTCAGCTGTTTCGAGCGGTCGTCCGGCCGCTACCTGCTTGCCCGTCCCTAGGTACCCCCCTCTACGGCCTCAGCTACCCCTCCCTCCACATTCTTTCGGCAATCTCCGTTTTCTTTCGTATAGCTCTCCTCCCACCAACCTCAAAGATGGAGGTTTGGATCGCATCGTCGTTCGTCACTCGCCACCCACATTCCTTCGCAATCCCTCGGCCGGTGTGGACCGAGCACCATTTTTCCACCTTATTAAGTACCATTAAATTTGGTACCATTTCTTCACCATACACGGTGCGCTTGAACTCACTTATTATGCGACTTGAATTTACATAAAAAATTCAAGTTGGAGGTTGTAGTGGGGTACTCCCTGATGGGTTTTTGGGAGATTTCAAAACAGGTTTTCGGAGCTCCTGGAAAAATAATCGCATTTTTGTGGTTTTTTAGGGGTAAAATAGCCAAACTGGCCTTGGGGCGACAAATTAAATCCCCTCTCCCTTATCCTTGCCTCGACCGATCTGAATTTTTAGTATGTTTTCGCCTGGTATAAGATGTGACTTTTCTGAAATTTTCATGCCCATACAAATTTTTTTGCTCCTGCTGCAGCGTTGCCAAGTTGCAGACTCTAAAATATCGAATTTAATGATAAAATGAAGGTTTCAAAATGTGATTTCCATTCAAAATCAAAAATTCAAATCGTAAGTTGTAGTAGGGTACTGCCTGATGGGTTTTTGGCCAATTTCGAAGTAGAGTGTTTGAGTTTTTCGGAAAATATTCGAATTTTGGTGGTTTTTTGAGGGTAAAGTGGCAGACTGGGCACGGGGCGACAAATTAAACCTCTTCTCCCTCATCCTTGCCGTGACCAATCTGAATTTTTTGTACGTATCAACCTGGTATAAGATGTGACTTTCATGAGATTTTTATGCCCATAAAATTTTTTTGGCCCCTGCGGCAGCATTGCCGAGTTGCGGACTCAAAAATATCGAATTTGATGATAAAATGAAGGGTTCGAGGTGTGATTTCCTCCAAAATTTCCCGGAAACGGTGCAATCTGAGAGTTTTCGATTAGAAAAAGCATATTCGAACAATTTAGAGTTGCAAAGCTGTCAGCTTTACGATTTAAAATTCGTCAAAATGACCCGAATCGCGATGCAACCTCAAGGTCTGGATTTTTATTTCGTTCGGAATTGGTCATTACGGTTTTTCTGTACTCTATGCATTTAGGTACCATGAAATTCATGCCATCACTTACTTGATGGGTGCAGCTAACTCAGCAAGAGAGGCCGGATAAAGCGAAGATTCGTGGAAAACGAGTGGTTCGGGTTGACAGAAAGCTCTCTTTACATGACATAAAATTTACAAAACATTTTTAATTTCGTTTTCTAGTGTACTTTTGTTATGAGGGAATTAATTTCAATATAACTCAAAATTATTGCAATATTTTGCAAATTTTTTATTTTTTAAATTGTTGAAGGTAATTTTCTGGATTCGAACTATTCCATCCGCTGTGAGAGGAGGTCGAATTTGGGGACTTTCAAACGTTTTTTGAACCGTCGTTTTCCACTCCTTTTATTTGTGTTTTAAGTTTTCATGTTTTTGGGAAAAATTTGGGGGGCAAGATTATAGATAGAATATTCAAAGTATTGACAGCAACAGGGATAAGGTTTGGGGGATGGAGAAAGTTCTCAAATTCTACTTTCTGTTGATGGAGTAGATTTAAGAACTTTCTGTCGACCCAAACCCCTCGTTTTCCCCGAATCTTCGCTTTATCCGGCCTCTCTTGCTGAGTTAGCTGCACCCATCAAGTAAGTGATGGCATGAATTTCATGGTACCTAAATGCATAGAGTACAGAAAAACCGTAATGACCAATTCCGAACGAAATAAAAATCCAGACCTTGAGGTTGCATCGCGATTCGGGTCATTTTGACGAATTTTAAATCGTAAAGCTGACAGCTTTGCAACTCTAAATTGTTCGAATATGCTTTTTCTAATCGAAAACTCTCAGATTGCACCGTTTCCGGGAAATTTTGGAGGAAATCACACCTCGAACCCTTCATTTTATCATCAAATTCGATATTTTTGAGTCCGCAACTCGGCAATGCTGCCGCAGGGGCCAAAAAAATTTTATGGGCATAAAAATCTCATGAAAGTCACATCTTATACCAGGTTGATACGTACAAAAAATTCAGATTGGTCACGGCAAGGATGAGGGAGAAGAGGTTTAATTTGTCGCCCCGTGCCCAGTCTGCCACTTTACCCTCAAAAAACCACCAAAATTCGAATATTTTCCGAAAAACTCAAACACTCTACTTCGAAATTGGCCAAAAACCCATCAGGCAGTACCCTACTACAACTTACGATTTGAATTTTTGATTTTGAATGGAAATCACATTTTGAAACCTTCATTTTATCATTAAATTCGATATTTTAGAGTCTGCAACTTGGCAACGCTGCAGCAGGAGCAAAAAAATTTGTATGGGCATGAAAATTTCAGAAAAGTCACATCTTATACCAGGCGAAAACATACTAAAAATTCAGATCGGTCGAGGCAAGGATAAGGGAGAGGGGATTTAATTTGTCGCCCCAAGGCCAGTTTGGCTATTTTACCCCTAAAAAACCACAAAAATGCGATTATTTTTCCAGGAGCTCCGAAAACCTGTTTTGAAATCTCCCAAAAACCCATCAGGGAGTACCCCACTACAACCTCCAACTTGAATTTTTTATGTAAATTCAAGTCGCATAATAAGTGAGTTCAAGCGCACCCTGTGTATATGTACGAGAGTGTGTGTGACTTTAAAGTAGCCTGAATTGATATAACACTTGAAACACGACCTGGGGAAAGAAGATCAAAATTACGAATGATACATTCGAGACATTTCGCCTAAAATCTCAGGCATTTTCAATCAATAAAATAAAAAAGGTTAAAACTCAAAATTATGGTCATCTCTTAGACTGGAGTAGCGAGGAACTGACTGGTGATTATGTAATCCTGAAATGAAGTATGACTGCGTCAAAAGTTTTATCAATAAATAGAGAGGGGTAGCAGTTTTGTAAAAGTAGTAAGTTCCCTTTTTTATTAGCCTCTGATCGTAAAGAGGTTGTTCCAAAAACGCCGATTTTGGCCTCCCCCCCCTGGATTTGGCCCAAACTTTGCTCAGATGTTGTACTAAGTGTCCCCGATGCTTGGGCAAAATTTCAGCCCCCTCGGATAATTAGGGGGGAGGGGGCAGGGGGGCAAAGTTGCAATTTTTTTAAAACTTTAAAAATCGATATCTCCCGAACGGTTTGAGTGTAAGTGTTGCGGTTTGCGCTAAAAAACGTCAAAAAATATTCTCTACAAGAATATTAATGCTGTTTGCAAGGTTGCGCAATTTATCGCGGTCATAAATCGATTTTTTTTTATTTTGAAGGTTCGACTTTTTTTTGTTTTTCGTCTCTCCTCTCTTTGGAATCGTTGCTACGTGAATAAAAACCTGTTGAGGTGATTTTCCATGAAATTCTGCATCTACCACACTTTGTTTGATCTTGGGGAAACGATTCGTTCGTGAGTTATAGCGATTTTTCTGCGCGTTATCGGTTACGCGCGGGCGGCTTATCGGCGGCGCTCCATCCCGCGCGGGCAAGGCAGAGGTTGTTTCACCGCTAGGGCCTTATATTCATGCTGTAGGCTGTAATTATCGATATTTTCTCCTCCCCCCACCCTTCCCCTGTAATAAATATTTGTTTAATACTTCGTTATACAGGGTATCCCAGACCACCCGTAACAGGTCTTTTTCTCGGTTGGTTTAGGTAGTACGAAGTGGGGGGCCGCGGGATTGAATAGGGAATTGACCCCAAGGAATCCGAATTTCACGGTCCCGAAACCCCCCATGCCCCCCTTGGGAGGTAAAGAGGGGGTCACGATCCCCAAAGTCGGGAGACATTGTGCCTCCCCCTTTTACCCCCCGAGGGTGGCTAGGGGGGCATCGGGACCATGAAATTCGGATTCCTTGGGGTCAATTCCCTATTCAATCCCGCGGCCCCCCACTTCGTACTACCTAAACCAACCGAGAAAAAGACCTGTTACGGGTGGTCTGGGATACCCTGTATAACGAAGTATTAAACAAATATTTATTGCAGGGGAAGGGTGGGGGGAGGAGAAAATATCGATAATTACAGCCTACAGCATGAATATAAGGCCCTAGCGGTGAAACAACCTCTGCCTTGCCCGCGCGGGATGGAGCGCCGCCGATAAGCCGCCCGCGCGTAACCGATAACGCGCAGAAAAATCGCTATAACTCACGAACGAATCGTTTCCCCAAGATCAAACAAAGTGTGGTAGATGCAGAATTTCATGGAGAATCACCTCAACAGGTTTTTATTCACGTAGCAACGATTCCAAAGAGAGGAGAGACGAAAAACGAAAAAAAGTCGAACCTTCAAAATCGAAAAAATCGATTTATGACCGCGATAAATTACGCAACCTTGCAAACAGCATTAATATTCTTGTAGAGAATATTTTTTGACGTTTTTTAGCGCAAACCGCAACACTTACACTCAAACCGTTCGGGAGATATCGATTTTTAAAGTTTTAAAAAAATTGCAACTTTGCCCCCCTGCCCCCTCCCCCCTAATTATCCGAGGGGGCTGAAATTTTGCCCAAGCATCGGGGACACTTAGTACAACGTCTGAGCAAAGTTTGGGCCAAATCCAGGGGGGGGGGGCAAAATCGGCGTTTTTGGAACAACCTCTTTTGTCAATTATCTCGACTACTCGACGTGCCAAATTCAATACCACATTTTTCTCAAAACTAGATGGTTGCATAGACGCGGAATTGGGGTACTTGACAAAAGTTTATGATCAGAGGCTGTGAAAAAAAGAAATTATTACTTTTACAAAACTGCTATCCCTCTCAAATTATTGATAAAACTTTTGACGCAGTCATTAGACCGTAAAGTTGGCCGATGATGGTACAAATTCCCACAAAAAACCAGCCATCGATCCATCGAAAGTCATATGTTTACCTTATGTGCGCTTGCCTCTCAGAACATCTCATCCATGCTGCGGAAATTTAATTTTACTGTAGTGAACACCAACTGCAACAATCTTTCGTTCCTTTGATTCCCTTTAAAATAGAAAAGGCTCACCTAACAACTCTCTTGTGTCGTTTATTGAATAGATTGTTTGAATTGGCCAAACAAAACAGCAACTGTCCAAAAGACTTAATGGTCACAAATATGATAAAAAAAGAGGTTATGGCGCTTCATCAGCATGAAAATAACAATGGTCATGCTTTTGATTGTGCAAACACCAAAGTTTTGGGTAGTGAATCCAATGACAACGCCAGAACTTTATTTGAAATGATTAAAAACAGAGGTACAACTAGTGACTACCGAACTGATGTTGAAAAACTTGGTGTTGCCTACCATCAGTTTTTCCAGCCACAGAGGTCCAACTAGTGTGTGCATGAAGAGAGATCCTTCCATTTATCTCTTAGTCTGTTTACCGGTTCCGAGATTACATAATCACCAACCAGTGCCTCGCTACTACGGTCTAAGGGACAACGGTAATTTTATGTTTTAACCTTTATTTTATTGATTGAAAATGCCTGAGATTTTAGGCGAAACGTCTCGAATTTTTCATTTGTAATTTTAGCCCTCTTTCCCCAGGTCGTGTTTTTAGTGAAATATATACGACAGAAAATGAATGGCATGTATACAGGGTGTCCCAAAAGTCTGTAACCCCCCCCCTCGTAACTTTTGAACGGTTAGAGATAGAAAAACGAAACTTTGGGAATGTTTCCATCTTAAAGGGGTCCATCTTCTAAAGGGGTCAAAATTTTTGTCCCCCCCTCAGGGGGGGCACGGGGGCCCCCAACTTTTTTTTTTCAAATGATAACCCCTATCTTGTGATACATCATTAGAAAGAACATAAAAAACTTAGAATTTTGGCGCAAACCGCAAATCAATATCTTAATTTTTACCGAGTTATGATAGGTCAAAGGTCAAATTTGACCTATTTTCAAAAAATCATATCTCCAGTTCAAATCATCGTAAAGAAAAAAATAAAACGGAAAAATTTACCAAATTGTAAGCACTTTCATATAAAAATCACAGAAATTAATTCAAACTAATTTTAAGGGGGGTTTCGGACCCTCAAATACGTCATTTTAAAGGTCATACGATATTCTCGCGAAATGAGCCAATTTCCCCCTACATTTCCTCAACATTGCGTTTTCAAGTCCCCAAATTTCGAGCAAAGTTCAAAAAACGAAATTTAAGGTGATTCAATTCAACCATTTAAATTTCATTTTTTTTAAAACTTTGTTCGAAATTTGGGGACTTGAAAACGCAATGTTGAACTAATTTTGAACTTACTAAGATAATGTTGAGGAAAAGTAGGGGAAATTGGCTCATTTCGCGAGAATATCGTATGACCTTTAAAATGACGTATTTGGGGGTCCGAAACCCCCCTTAAAATTAGTTTGAATTAATTTCTGTGATTTTTACATGAAAGTGCTTACAATTTGGTAAATTTTTCCGTTTTATTTTTTTCTTTACGATGATTTGAACCGGAGATATGGTTTTTTGAAAATAGGTCAAATTTGACCTTTGACCTATCATAACTCGGTAAAAAATTAAGATATTGATTTGCGATTTGCGCCAAAATTCTAAGTTTTTTATGTTCTTTCTAATGATGTATCACAAGATAGGGGTTACCATTTGAAAAAAAAAAGTTGGGGGCCCCCGTGCCCCCCCCCTGAGGGGGGGGACAAAAATTTTGACCCCTTTAGAAGATGGACCCCTTTAAGATGGAAACATTCCCAAAGTTTCGTTTTTCTATCTCTAACCGTTCAAAAGTTACAAGGGGGGGGGGTACGGACTCAAACACAGCATAAGTTGTGATTAGGGAAGTGATAACAACAAGCCACCGAGGTTATGTTATGGTGTTGTGATTTTTGGTCACCCGCTCCAAGTGATGCCAACTCGAGCTCTGATTGGCCCCGACGCACGGACACTGCCAATGCAGTCCGGGCTGATCCGAATCCGATTTACCGCATGGCATGCGGAGGCGGCAGAAGATACGCGAACAGCTCTATTTCAACTCCCTTTTTCACCAAGAAATCATGATGGAGAGCCTTCAAAATTGTTTTAAAATTATTCAAATTCTGAATCCATTTAATGCACATCAGCGCATTTCAGCGACGCTAAGAAATCAAGTCTAGACAGAAAAATCATTTTTTCGCGATTTTATAAAACGACCGTATTTACATGTATTTGACACAGGGTGAATCTGCAGCCTGACTGTTGAAATTTTGTGTGGTTTGTCAGGTTGACGTAGATGACATAGGTTAAAAGGCGGAGCGTGATTGATCGGCTGTCTTATCGCTGCTTTGCCCATGTCGGGTTGAACTCAGGACAAGCTAGTGGCACCTCTTAAGTTTCCAACAGTATGTTGTCCATTCCACCTAACGAAGGCACGATAAAGCAGCGATAAGACATAGCCGACCAATCACGCTCCGCCTTCTAACCTATGTCATCTATATCAACCTGACAAACACAAAATTTCAACAATCAGGCTGCTGTGTGTATACCATGTGACGTCCCGGTGTCCTATTTCCAAAGCGCGGGAAAAGACCCGTTTCAAATCGCTTTTGACTTTGGGGAGCTCTTTCTCGAAGTCCCAGTGACCAGAAAACTTTTTAAAAAATATGTTAATTCTCAGTAGACCTCAAACTTTAAAAATTGAATTGAAAAATGTCACGCAACTAACCCATTGATGCAATTGACTTAAATCAATTCATGTCATTGACTGTTTTGTGCCACAAGTTCCTGGCAAGGGTAACTATTTAACCGCAATTCCTGTAAGCAGTTTTTTTTTAGTATTAACTGTAGCAAAAAATTAAATCACTTTCAAATGTAAAATTCTGCTGGAAGTTCATTGTCTTAATTTTATCACACACTTCATTGAGATCCTGGAAGACTGACACTGTTCTTTTTTCTTTTCTCCTGTTTTTTATTGTAGATGACCCTAACAAAAACAACAAAGTTCCAAACTGGTACGGCCTTTGCTCTCAGCAAGAATGGGAATGGCGACAAAAAGCCTTTGACTACGAGAAAAGATACCTGGGTCATTGCAACACAGCAACAGATATCAAAGAAGCTAACTTTTTTGGCAGGTAAAAATTGAGCTGAGAATTGGTGACTTTTAATATCCATTGATCTTTTTTCACATCATTGAACTAAAACCTCAATTATGCAAAATCAGTAACACAATTTTTGAAAGTAAGTGATGACAGAATTGGCCCAAGTCTAATGATCTGAAATTTGGGCTATAAATGTTTCCTTCCATCTTGTTTTTCAAAGGTGTCAAAAGATGAGGATTCTCATTTCCAGGGGGCTGAGATTCCACCTAAATAGTCGCGATTTTTTTTTTAGTCGCATGGGTGCGAGTCTCATGGAGTTATCTCAAATTGCTCCCTAGAAATTTAGGTGACTTCAAACAAAAAGACATCCAGTATACCTACTCGTATGATTGAAAGTGTCAGGTTGTCAGCTTGTCAAACATGCATTCTCTGCATAAACTGTTGGCACAGCCATAAATCAGGAAGCAAATCCAGTTGTTGGTTTATGTTTTTGGTCAAGCACATTAACCTTATTGAGATTTTTCACCAAACCTCTTACAAATTGTCAAGATGTATGGGCGGGAGAAGGGGGGAAAAGGACGGCACACACAGAATAACGCCAGTAAAATCGGCTTTTCATACTAACAAACTTTATTCACAAAACAGATACTTATATACAGGTAATTGTCCTCGGTCAACGCTCGCAGGCGAGGTGCATTCGTCAATATTGAAGAGTAAACATTAAACATAGAAAGGTCGTTCAACACTTATCAGTTGTTGCCATATTTCATGACACCCCCACTTAATGTTTACGCTTTGATTATACTAAGCCTAGTTTNCCGACCCCATTCGAAAAAACGAAAAAATACGGCATCCCTAAAGTCATCTCTAGTATCTTCATGCGAAATTTCAACTCGAAATTCCGGTTACACTTGGGAAGCTCCCCTTGTGAGTTGACTCTGATTTGAAAATCTGCCAACAGTTTTTCCAACCAAATCCCTTCCTGGATCGAACTGCAAAGGGATATTAATTCAGCCTCAGTACTCGATAGGGCAACACAATTTTGTTTTCTCGTACTCCAAGACACTGTGTTCCCAAATACTTGAAATAGGTATCCTGAAACAGATTTTCTGTCACTTATATCTCCCCCCCAGTCAGGGTCCACGAAGCAATCAAGCACCTGGTCTGTACTATGATTTTGATAAATTAATTCCAGGTTCATTGTTTCATTTAAATATCTCAGAACTCGTTTTAAATAGATCAAAAGTTCATGCGTAGCTTTACCTTGAAATCTACTGAAATAATTTATGGCAAAACTTAAATCTGGGCGTGTTCCCAACATTAAATACATAATACATCCTACCATTTCCCTCACCTCTTTTACAATAACATTGGATTTTGGTTGAGCTGATAAATCTAGTTTCAATTGTGCATCTATTGGAGTAGAAATTGGTTTACATTCCAACATATTATATTTTTCCAACACCTTTAAGATATACTCTTTTTGACTCAATTTGATTTTTTGCTGTTCAGGATCAATCTCGATTTCTAATCCGAGAAAATGTTTCAATGTTCCTAAATCTACAATATCAAATTTCTTGATTAGCTCAGATTTATATCTTTCAATTAGTTCATGACGAGAAGCACTTATAATTATGTCATCAACAAAAATCAAAATAAAAATTAATCCTTCCCCACATTCTTTTGTGTATAAACAGAAATCGTTTTCAGATTGGATAAAACCCAGTTTCATTAAAAACTCATTGAACTCTGAATTCCAGACCTTTGCTGATTGCCTTAGCCCATATAATGCCTTATTCAATTTTAATACAAATCCACTCTTACATTTTACACCTTCAGGGAGATAAACATACACATTTTCATTCAATTTTCCGTTCAGGAAGGCAGTTTTTACATCTAATTGAGCAAATTCATAACCATACTGGTTTCCTACGGCTAAAAGGGTTCGAATGGTAGCCATTCTAGCAACAGGAGAATATATTTCTTCATAGCAAAAACTGTCTTTCTGAGCAAAATCCCGAGCTACTGCTAAACGACTTTTGTATTTTTCATCTGCATGAGGTTTGTATGTAAAGACCCATTTTGTATCAATGATCTCGGCATTACTGGGTTTTGGCACCTCAGTCCATACTTTCTTTTTGTTAATTGATTCTAACTCCCGATTCACTGCCTGATACCATTCTTTCTTGTCCTCTCTAGAATCCAACTCAGAAAAATTTCTTGGAATATCATCGACTAAAGCAATGGCATTGTATGCAGAATAGAGTACAAAATCTTTAAGATGTGCTGGTAATTTTACCTCACGTTTGGGTAAAACCCCTGGGTTTATCTCTTTTTCGGGAGTTTCGAAATCGGAATCAGGTTCTTCTTTTGAGCTATTGAATTGAGAATCACTTTCCTCACTTGATTCACTTGAAGAATCACTTTCAGTTTCACTGATCTCATTTTCTTTAGTAAATGTATTCTCTTTATTATCTTTTTCTTTTAACTGGAAATGTTCTTCAAAGTCCGGTAAAACAGCATGATTCCCAAAATACAACTCATTTTCATTGAAAATTACATCTCTTGAAACAACCACTTTTCCTTTTTCTGGACTCCATAGTCTATACCCATTGTTGCAATACCCTATCATAATGCATTTCTCGGTCTTCGAGTCTAACTTCTTACGCAACTCCTTCGGAATATGGCGGTATGCAATCGAACCGAAAATTCTCAGATTGCTTACGTCAGGTTTTTTACCATACCATACTTCCGCAGGTGTCATGTCATTGAAGTTTACCGTCGGACTTCTATTTATTAAATAAGCTGAACTTAAAACTGCTGCTGGCCAAAATTTTTTGGGCATATTAGAATCAATCAACATTGCCCTAGCTTTCTCTACAATTGTTCGCATAAAACGCTCTGCTTTACCATTTTGTTCTTGTGAATACGGAATAGCATAATCGACCGTAGTCCCGTTTTCTTTACAATAAATTTTAAATTCATTTGAAATATATTCTCGGCCGTTATCACACCTGAGCACAGAAATTTTCTTTTCAAACTTGGCCTGAGCCATTTGTGAGAATTCTTTGAAGCAACCAAATACTTCGCTCTTGTTTTTGATTACATATACCCAAACAAAATTCGAGTAATCATCAACAAAAATCACGAAATATTTTTCGCCGTTCATGCCCTGAGGTGATATTGGCCCCCCTACATCAGAGTGTACTATTTGTAAAACTCGTGTACTCTTACTCCGTGTTTTGAAAACTGATCTCGTTTGTTTACTAGCTATGCAAGATTCACAGAATGCGACCTTGCTGACTCGGACCTTTTCCAAGCCACTGACCAGATTGTTATGAATCAGCTTCTCGAAGTATGTGTTGCTGATATGGCCAAGTCTTTTATGCCATTTCATAGCTAATTCATTGTCAACTTCTACGACCAGAGCTTGATTCATAACAACCTCGAAATGAATTTTATAAAGATTTTTCACATATCCCACACCAATTATCTCATTTTCACAGGATAGAGTTACTTCCTCATTTTCAAAAATTACTTTTATATTCGCCAAGTTCAGTTTTCTTACGGATAGGAGATTTTTCCTTAGTTTTGGGACTAGCAGAACGTTTTTTATGCAGCAATCGATTTTTTTATTCCCTACTTCACTCATAACATTTATATTTCCGATACCAACAGCCTCAATGAACTCATTTTCTTTTGCTATGGCAATATGTATAGGTTCCTTTAGTAATGTTAGTTCACTAAATAAATCCTTTTGAAACACTAGATGATCAGAACAACCAGAATCGACATAGAATTCAATGCAATTTTTATTTTCGCTCACTGCGTTTTCTGTTAGAAAGCAAATGCTGCCAGCTGCGTCCTTGTCTGCATGGTAGCCTGATTTTTGATCTGAATTCTTCTTGTCGCCTTTTCCTTTGTTTGGTCCACTCCTTCCATTGTTGTGGCCGCTGTTGTTGTTGTTCTGCTGCTTAGGTGGTTTCTTACATTCTCGTTTCCAATGTCCAGGGATGCCGCAGTTGTGACACTTTCCCTTCCTTGTCGCCTGAAACGCCGTTGTTCCAGATTCGTCCTTTGTGCCCGAAGTCCTCACGCCACCTCGTGATTCTTCTGCCGCGAGTCTCGCCACCAAATTCTGAAGAGTCTTCTCCCTCGCTTCTGTTGATTCCCAAGACGTGGCAAAGTACCTGAAACTTTCCGGGAGAGATACGAGCACTTTGGAGATCAACATGTCGTCGCTAATCCTGCATTCTGTCTGAGCCAGTTGATACGCCAAGTTCTGCAGTTTTCCGATTTGATCCACCAGTTTACTTCCTTTCGTCATCCTGAACCCATAAAACTCCTGAAGTAGGTTGCATCTCCTCTGTGCCGTATTTCTCTCGTAAAGCTCAAGCAACTTTGTCCACATCTGGAAACTCGTTGTCGCTGTCATGATGTGCGTCAAGATTCCCGTCTCCACAGTTTGGACGAGTATCTTCTGTGCCTGCACGTCCTTAAGATCCCATTGGTGCGCTTCCTCTGCATTCGTTGATGATCTCGCTTGCCTCCCTTCCACAATGCTGAAGGCTTCCTTATCCTTAAGCAAGATCGTCACCTGAAACTTCCATATTTGAAAGTTGTCTTCACCCCGAAGTTTCTCGATTTTTATGAATGCGTTCTCCATCTTGGCTGCTATCCTGAGTTTGGCGCCCGTTCTCTGCTCCTGGACCTCACGTCAGATGTCCACCTGCTAGAACCGCCCAAAGCTCCCTCTGGATGCCTGCTGCCTCAGAGACGCTGTCCTGGAGTTGTGGATGTAACCTTTTTGAGTTCTTGTACCTCTGCTCGTAGCCTTCTCTGAGTCCTATAGTTCAATTTGCACCACCAAACCAAAATATAAGCCAGTACTAGTGCGATGATCAGTCCGTACAAGATGTAGTTGTGATAGTCCACTGCAACCTCCTGCTCCACGGTTTGAGTCTGAGTGTTGACGTTCTCCTTGGATTCTTTACTAGACGAGTCGAACCAGCCCATTGGATAAGTGACTTGTAATTTCGGTTCGGTGCAAACTTGAACAAAGACAAAGATACCAGCTATTTGCAGAGTTACTTACTCACGATGACTGTAGTGACTGCTGTAGTGACTGGGCTCCATAACCTGTCAAGATGTATGGGCGGGAGAAGGGGGGAAAAGGACGGCACACACAGAATAACGCCAGTAAAATCGGCTTTTCATACTAACAAACTTTATTCACAGAACAGATACTTATATACAGGTAATTGTCCTCGGTCAACGCTCGCAGGCGAGGTGCATTCGTCAATATTGAAGAGTAAACATTAAACATAGAAAGGTCGTTCAACACTTATCAGTTGTTGCCATATTTCATGACACAAATGATAAAATACATAGAAAGAGAGGGCAGAAATAGATCTCCGGGCCATTCCTTTACTGAATGCACTTTTTCCTTCTCTTTTAATTTCTAAAAATGATGCTTAAGTCACTTTTTGGCTTTTTCAGTGATGGTCAATATATAGTGGCGGGCTCTGATGACGGAGCACTTTATGTTTGGGATCGCCAAACAGAAAACAATGTCAAAATTCTGAAAGGCGACTCGTCGATAGTAAACTGTTTACAACCGCATCCTTTTCTTTGTCTTCTGGCAACTAGTGGTATTGAACCTGTAGTACGTCTGTGGTCTCCTCAACCGGAGGTAAGCATTTTTTTTATACCTTTTCACCTTCATTTTCTTAGTTAATGCTTAAAAGCTTCCATCTGTGGTTTAATATTATCTTTTTCACAAAACTTTTCTAGTTTCTTTTTTAAGTTAATGTAGTACAGTTCTTTTTTCTATCATTCTAATTCTAGAAATTGTGTAACCAAGGTTGCCGGTAGTTTGGAAAACCAGGAAAGTTGGGGAATTTGCGACGACTGGAAGTCAGGGGATTCGCGGGAAAAGTTGGGAAATTTCTGACACACCTACTTATCACTAAAATATTTCACTGGTCCTCAAACTGTTTATCTTTTCTGGTCATCTTTTAAGTAGCTACTAAATGCCTTTTTCCATAATTTGGTCTCTAAACCAAGAAATTTTGCCCAAAGTTCAGCAAAATACAGCGTATTAAAGAAAAGGAAGAAAAAAAATTGGTGGGAATTTTGTTGTTGAAGGTCAGGGATAAGCAAAAAAATTCGGAGAAATTCAAGGAATTTGATTATGAAATTATAGCAACCCTGATAACACCTTTCTTCCTCTTTCATTTGGTAGAAATACTGCTTTAGAAAAATTTTGCGTTAAATATGCTCATTTTTGTACCTCATAGTACCAATTTTTACAATTCTATTAATTTTGAAAAAATGTAAGATTTAACTAAATATTTAAAAGAATAGTAAGAAAATTTATGAAAGCACAAGCACAATAACTGAGGATCTTTCCGACCATACAGCTTATACGTGTATAAGCTGTTTGCTCGGATTTTCGCGATAAAGATAATTAACTCATACCCTGCATAAGGTACCCTTCGAATCTCATGTCGATAGTTGCAAAAGATTAACAGATATTATTTTTCTGGTGCCCAAAAGTTGATCTCTCAGTGCATTTCCAAGCAAACAATTTACGCGCATATTATGCCTTTGCTTGAAAATTCTGTTTACAGTGTATCATATCAAGGTCTTAAATAAACAGCTAACGTCTCTCTGCACATTTCAACCCCACAGAAATCATTCTCAAGGGGAGGGGGTGGTGAAACACCCATAAATGAACTACTTGGAGAAAACCCCCATTTTACTGCGTAGTTTTCCGTCTACCTAACAGCTCTGGGGCCAGGGGAGTTACCTTCCTTTGTGATCATTAAAACATAAATTTGCATCAACTCATATTGACTATGAAACAAAAATGAATGTTTGCCTAGATGCATGAAATAAGTACACTCCTCCTGGGAAAGTGCACCACGATCGATTTTTATGTTTTTACTGCATTCAATTCATCGCAAGATGCCGATCAAAAGGGATCATTGTGCCAACTTCTAATGATGCACCGTTTTTCGCACAATACGCCCGGAACGCTTCAATTATTCGGCGAAAAAGAGTCAAAAAGAACAAGGGATTCGAGAATAGGTCTGCTGTGAATGAGGAAAAACGTAACGAGTGTCTGTCTTTTTATCTATTCCTGCCTACTCTGGGGCTATCTCCCTCCCACTCTTGTCCGTTTGACGGTCACTGTTTTTCTCCGACTTCCCTGTTCTTATGCTCCTCACGAATCTGATTTGGATGGTCAAGCAAAAAGGCGTGCAGAATCCGAGATAAGAGTGAGGAACCTTTCTAACTCTTTGTCGCCAAATAATTGATGCGTTCCGGGCATATTGTGCAAAAACGGTGCATCGTAGAAAGTTGGCACAATGATGACTTTTGATCAGCATTTTGAGATGAATTGAATGCAATAAAAAAATTAAAAATCGATCGTGGTGCGTTTTCCCACAAGGAGTGTGCGGGGTCCTTTATTTACTCACGTACCGATGCAACAAAAAACCTACGTGCCGATTTTCGGCCATTTTGAACTTTAACCAGCTGCCATTTTGAAACGGTTTGAGATATCGACTTCGGGTTAAAACGTAAAGTTTTCTTTTTTATGCCCTTTTGAACGAGGTATTACAAGAGGAGTCTTCCCATTTGAAAAATAAAAAGTTGGGGTCCCCCCTCCCCCAAGGGAGCCCCCCTGAAAATTTTAGGGGGTTCAAAAAGTATTTCTCTGTGACCTAGTAACGTTCTCCAAGTTTTAAATCTCCACCTCTACTGGGTAAAAAGTTAGAGGAAGGAGGGGATTTTTCTAACACCCTGTATATTTGCTCAAGACAGTTGACCTTTTTTAAAAAATCTCAATTTGATCAATAAAAAAAGGTTGCCAAATTTATACCTATAATTCTTGAGTGGAAAGAATACTCCTCTCTAATCATTCACTGCGAACACTAATTTTAGAAGTCTAGAAAAAACATCTAGCCTTCACATATGAACTGAAATATTAATGGTTTCTTAATTCACCCAATATTTTTGAAGTAACTCCTGCTAAATGTTTATTCCAACCTTTGTATTCTTGATTTGTTTTCCTCTAATTCCAAAGGACTGTATACTTCAAGAGGAATTGTTTAAAATTTAAAACCTTGCCTTCTAGGATGGGAAGGTGGATTCCAGAGAAGAAACTGATTTTGAAAAGGCAGCTCATAAAAATCAACGCAGAATGAAAACCGACCCTTTTGACATTGTACTCATGAACTGGGGAATCCGCTCCGTAGAACAAGAAGAGAACGTTGTCCGCATAAGGATGACAGATAGAGATAATCACACTCATACTTGTCGACCAAGTTAATGATCATCATCACAACGACGAAATAGACCTTATTCTGAGAGTATGTCCATTTCCATTGTATAATTGAAAAATCTTTCAGTTTTAAACAGTGTGCTTTTAATGATGAAGACCATGACTTCGTTTTAACAGTCTCAAAATTCAAAAAAAATCCAGGATCTAATTTGGGTCTCTCTTACTTACTCTAATGTCCCTTTTCTCTTGTAGTTTTGTTCAACCAAAGAATTTTGTTAGGCTTTATAGCATCACACTTCTTTTGTTGCTAGGTTTTAGTGAGAATAGTGGAATTAATTTTAACAATTGTCCGAGTTATGTTCACACCTTGCTCTCTCCTCTTTGCCTTAAATTGGTATTTTTCCTATGTATTAAAGGAAAAGTTTTCATACGGGTGAGTCGATAAAAGTTGAGCAAAATTTCCTTGCAAGTAAAAATGCCTTTTTGCGTTTTGTTCTTCACTGTATCTAAGTTACCTCTGTATTTGCAATATTTCTGTTCAAAACTATAAATATTGTCATGAAAATCATCAAATACTATGTTTTATAGATCGCCAGTAAAACATTGTCGTTTGAGACCTCTGCAGTTGTCTGCCTCTAACAATAATTTCTGAATAAATTGTTCCATTTATCGCATTTTTCTAGGAACGGATTTTTTGATGCGAATCCTACCCATAAAAAAAATAAAGATAATACATATTCATCAAAATGCTCAATTTTCATATGAAGTAACTAACATATGAAGCATTATATGTAAAAATATTCCCTTTTTAAGTTTTCAGAAAATTTTGTTTAAAGTTTTCAAAGCTGTGCATTTTGATGTCCATGCAGCAAATTGGGTGGGGCCAAGGAATTTCTTTTATGAAGAATCTTCCTCCAAAAAAATGAGCTTTAGAATTTTAAGTTAGAGAGAAATGTCAGTGAGATACAGTGATTTTAAAAAATGACCACATCCGCTGTTTTTACGGAGAACCTTTTTTAGGTACGAGGGGCGTTCAATACGTAAGTATCCCCCCTCTCAAAAATCGATAGGAATGGACCAATTTTAAAAAACTTGGGCTCAAAATCTTCCTTAGGATATACTGATTGTGAGTTCAACAAAACAAATGGCAACAAAATCGGACCATGTGCGGCCGAACGCGAGCCGTTTAAACGCGCCGAGGTGCACGCCGCTCCCTCCGAATCCGCGGAGATTTGAAGTCCGCAACAAGAGAAGAGCTTCTCTGCCAACGCTTCAGTCGTTCATCACTGACGAAAAATCAAAGAATTTTTTGTAGAATAAGGTGCTTACCTCACCTCTCCACATAACCAGCTCGATCCAAGCAGGCCTGAGACTGATTGTGAGACTAAGAGAACAGCTTTTGGATGCCGCGCCTGTTGAAGATTTTCAACTGGCTGGGGATGAAAGTGTTGATGGCTTGTTTGACCTCTTCCACTGATTCAAAATGAACTCCCCCGCGTTCAGATACTAGATACGGTAATAAATGGCAAAAAAGACCACCATTTATTCCCCTTTCTATAATCTGAACTCAAGGGAACTCATTTTGAATCAGTGGAAGAGGTCAAACAAGCCGTCAACACTTTCATCCCCAGCCAATTGAAAGACTTCTACAGGCGCGGTGTCCAAAAGCTGTTCTCTTAGTCTCACAATCAGTCTCAGGCCTGCTTGGATCGAGCTGGTTATGTGGAGAGGTGAGGTAAGCACCTTATTCTTCAAAAACTTCTTTGATTTTTCGTCAGTGATGAACGACTGAAGCGTTGGCAGAGAAGCTCTTCTCTTGTTGCGGACTTCAAATCTCCGCGGATTCGGCGGGAGCGGCGTGCACCTCGGCGCGTTCAAACGGCTCGCGTTCGGCCGCACATGGTCCGATTTTGTTGCCATTTGTTTTGTTGAACTCACAATCAGTATATCCTAAGGAAGATTTTGAGCCCAAGTTTTTTTTAAAATTGGTCCATTCCTATCGATTTTAGAGAGGGGGGGATACTTACTTATTGAACGCCCCTCGTATAAAATGAACCACCTAGCTAATGTGAGCAAAATAAAGCGTATGATATTGACCAAATTGTGATTACTGTTGAGTTTTTCAATATTTTTATAGAAAAATAAATATTTGGTAACTTCCCAAAAAAAATAGGAACAAACTATGGTCTTTTAAAATTGGTAAAATATTAAAAAAAAAGTGCTAACCCCCTCCCTCTCAAGACCTATGCACAGTAAGTCTGATCAATTTTTATTACTATTGTGATGTGCTCATATACAAGATCCTTGAGGAGGTTACTGAGCTTTAGTGAATTATTTAGCTCTAAATGTATAATTTCAACAAATTCTGACAGCCGCTGTTTATAGATATACCATGCTTTTTATTCACCTCTTCTAAGTGGGAAATTGTGCCAGAAGTATGAAACTTAGTACCAACACTCTCAAAGGTTAGCGGATTCTAAAGAGATGTTATCCCTAAAAATGGTGGATGTTCGATTAGTCCAGGCACCCGGTAAGTGGACCTGGAATTTCGGGTACATAGCTATTATTTTGGCTTACTTTATGTTTTTTAGGTCGCTGAATCCGTATCTGAAGTTTCCCTGGTAAGTCGACCTGGAATTTCGGGTACACAGCTATTCTTTTGGCTTACTTTATGTTTTTTAGGTCGCTGAATCCGAATCTGAAGTTTCCCTACACGCATCTGGTGAGCATTTGCCGCCATTTTGAAAAAATTGCCTAAAAAGACCTTTTCATGCGTTTTTTTTTTTTTTTTAATAGCGGCTACGCATGAGAATAAATCCCGTATTCAGTTAATGTATTGAATAGCTGACGTGATTTGGAAGAAAATAGTGTATATGTATGCTAGGTTTGCTCAAAAATTGAGGAAGATAAAGCATCTTGAACATGGCGCCCATCCACGTTTTCGCGGCGCACGCGTCAACGCGCCGTCCGGCTCGCCGCGGTCCGCTAAGTTCCGGAGCGTTCCAAAGTTCCGAGTTCCGAGAACCCTCAATTTTTGAGCAAACCTAGCACGTGTATACACTATTATCTTCCAAATTACGTCAGCTATTCAAAACATTAAGTAAATCGGGATTTTTCCTTATGCGAAGCCGCTATTTTTAAAAAACCGCAAAAAAGGCCTTTTTAGGCTATTTTTTCAAAATGGCGGCAAATGCTCACCATATATGTGTAAAGAAACTTCAAGATTCGGATTCAGGATTCAGCGACCCAAAAACATGAAATAAGCCAAAAGAATAGCTGTGTACCCGAAATTCCAGCATGAATATTAATTCCAGCAGTACAGATATGGTTTCATATTGTTTTTTAAAAAGACTAACACATTGATTAAGAGTATCTCTGGATTGGTGTAGAAGTTTTTAAACAATGAGTGCATAATATTTTGCATCTGTTTCACAGAATTTCTCTCTTTCTTGACTCATTTTTACTATGAACTCATTTCTCTCTTTCTTGACTCATTTTTACTATGAACTCATTTCTCTCTTTCTTGACTCATTTTTACTATGAACTCATGATTCACATCTCCATACCCTCCATGATCCCTCTTAACTTCCTCTTGACTTGATCCTCCTTACCTCTAAAAAGCTGCAAAACGCTAACCATTACCTCAGAGGTCGTAGGGGTAATCTTGCAGAACTGTGGATGTTCCTCTCAACTCAGGTTCTTCTCTCAACTTTTAAAGTTCTGGTAGTAAAAGAAAAATTCATTGGTACTTTAATGAAACCTGCACTCGATTTTATCTTTTAAAAGAATATCTGGTTATTAATTCCACCCTACAGATTGATAATTATCGAAACTTGGAATTTATTTGGAAGCATGAGATATTGAGCAAGCCGATCTTTAGTTGCATCATTGGTCAGTCATATTGCGTGAGCCCCATTATCTTTTTCTTATTATAGCATTAGCTACATAAAATGCTATCTTTGTCTGTCCCTGATAATCCATTCAGAATCTAAGTTAAACCCTGTGAAGAAGATCAAGTGATCCAATCCACTCCCAGTTTCAATGACATTTCTTCCCTTTTTTTTTGAAAAACCAATTTTAACATGCAGCAGTTTGTTAGATTCCTATTTTTTGTTGGTAAGCAACATCTGTGGCGAAAATCTGAGAGTACGCCCTTGCTTTTCGATGTTACTCTCTCTATTCATATATTTTTTTAACACAGGGAACTTATCATGAATTATTTCCTAAACTTCTTTATCTTGTCATCCCTTTTTGAAAAAAATTAACTATTGCAAATAACTCTGGACTGCTTGGGTCATTGGTCATGTCCTAAAAAATAAATGAAGCTTGGGAATTATGAAGTATCTAATCAAAAAACTCAGATTCAAGCTGCTAATTAGCATTAAGTCGGAAAATTTTCCATGGGGTTTGATCCTCGCAGTCTCGAACAAGAATGGAACAGAGAGAGAGTTTCTCTTATTCATTGTAATTTGTCTCCTCTTCACTGGATTGCAACTTGCGTGAAAAGATGACACATATGAGAGATTTAAAGGAAGGCAGTTTTTGTTTCTCTAACGCTGTGCAATTTAATTAGTGTCCCAAGTAGCATTTCTCAACGGAAAAATCGCTAAATATTGCGATTTTATCGGCGATAAAATCGCCAGGATCATCAGCATCTGAGCGATTATCCTTCATCTAATTGCAGTAAAATCGTGCTTTTATTGCCCGACAATTTATCGCGATATTTTCGAAATAAAAATCGCGATAAATGGCGATTTAGTCTCGATTTTATCGACGAAAATTGATCACGATTTTATCAAACCAAAAATTGCGATGTGTAGCGATTTAATCGCCATGTATCGCAATTTTTAATGCGATAATATCTCGATATATTGCCACCGATATAATCTCGATAACCAACCGATAAAATCGCTATTTATCGCGGTATGTCACATTTTTAAGGTTGCTGTGTCTTGTGATTAATTTACAATATTCTATTTTTCGAAGTCCGTTGAAAATGTTTAAAGCTTCCAGGGCATTTTCAGAAACCGTTGTTTTCACTGTAGTTAATGATCGCAATTTTACCTGCTTTCAAGTAAGTCTCATTTGAATTGTTGAAAAATCAACAGTTTTTGCGACAATAGCGGGACTAATAATCAGACTAATAATTCAGACTAATGATCTGTATTGCACATGCTGAGCATGACTTTAAAATAACAGCGGCAAACCACTATGCAATGAATGAAAAATCATTCTCTGCAAGAAACGAGTAGAGAAATATTGTCAAGCACTGTGGTATCCGTCAAGTTGGTAGTATGTATTGCTAGGGAGATTTGCCCTGGTAGGTCGTGAAGCCTGGTTGGGCACTTGTTAGCTTATCAATAAAATGTGATCTTCTTCTTAGACCAGTGTCTCCCTTTTTCACCTTTCCCTTCAAAGGCATCTTCTGCGATATTATAAGCACCTGTTCAATTTTCAGGTAATAGAAGTCCATTGATATGTATTTTATGATGAGTTACCTCAGTGGGTGCCTCATCTTTTCCTCTTTGAAGCCTAATGCTACCTCATATTGATACCTTTTTATTCTAACATTCTATTTGATCAAACACTACTGCTTTAGGTTTCTCGTAAACTTTTGTAACTCATCCGTTGTTATTCTGCTCTCAAATGCTTCTAGTCCAGTCATTTGGTGAAG